CGGACTTTGGAATGAGACTACATACTCTTAGTTAGGAGTATTTGTTGTTTGATCTTTATACCTTCTACACGATCCTCACCACCTATATAATGATCGGTAGAGGTTTGAGAAAAAGAAAAAAAAGAGAAAAAGAAAAAGAAAAAGAAAAAGAAAAAGAAAAAGAAAAGAAAAAATATATATATGTTCCATATGTGGGAATGAGAAAAAAAAATGAATACATGGAGGCCGAACGATGGAAGAAACACAATTGTCTCCATAATGTTTTTAGCGAATAAGAGCTAAGAGATCGAAAAATTTTGTGATCGCGCTTTGACAAGACACGAGACTCAYGTTTGAGTTGTAGTTTCCTTTCCAAGATCCACTTTTAGTCACTTCACCAAATTATTCCCTACCTTGACCCTTAGCCACGTTACAACCCTTACTAAAGACCTTTTTGATTCACACCTAGGYTGACCATTAGCGATGGAGAATCGAGATCWAATTCAAGACTATGGTAGTGTATGTACATGTGAATTAATGTTTTGAGTGAAAACACCTACACCATTGTGTGAATGAGCGATTGTATTGCATATATCCTTTGTGAGGTGTTTGTGAAATTAGCATGTTCTCATMTTTGGTTCGTCTCGTGTGTTAATTTTCGCTAATATGGTTTTAGTCGAACCTCCGTGAAATGCTATGTATTTTTGTCCGTTCTCTAAAAATCAACTCATGATATATTCRTAGTGYTTGCCCGAGGACGGTCAAAGTTCTAAGTGTGGGGATGTTTTGATAGCTATATTTTCTTGGATGAAAATTAATTTTAAGAAGCCCTTATCTTAATCATTTTGTGAGTAAATGTGTTTACTTAACACTTGTTTTATTTTGTAGAGCCAGCCCAAAAAGAAAAGAAAAGCCCAACTTATGGCCTAACTTATGTGGACTTCATCAAGCCCAAATAAAGCCCACATCTTCTCCACATTTTTGGATCGGACAGAAGCAGACGTGAGAGGGAAGGAGGCGACTTCTGTTCGTGGGGGATCGATTGAGGAAGTACGTGGGTTCGATTCACGAGGAGAAGACGTGGGTTTGATTGAGAGAAATCATGGGATCGATTCGATTGGAGAGGGACGTGATCAAAGGTAAAGGGGGGTTGGTTCATTATAAAAGATGACAGGGGCTGTTCGAAGAAGGGATGTTCGATTGGGAGGAGACGGTAGCAAGGGAGATAGTCGCGAGGGTGGAAGAAAGCGGCAAAGGGCTGTTCGATTGGGAGGACTTCACCATCAATTTCTCATCACTTTTGGTAATATCTTTAATTTCTTAGTTTGTTAACCCTAGATTAGTCATGTGTGGCTAATCTCTTCATTCTAACATTAGTCACTTTAGATTTTGATGTTTTCCCACTTTGAAATTTTGTTGTAATCGTTTGGGACAAGTTTATTTGTTGGATTTCTAGGTTAAATGTCAATTTCACTTTGAATGTTAAGTTATTTGGYCAATTATTTGATGTTCTTGTGAATGTTTGTTAGTCAAAATATTAAGATATGTAATTGTCTATTGGTTTTGATAAAGTGACAATTGAATTCTTTCAATTTCAATAAGGTTTTTGAAATGAGTTCTTGAAATCTTACAATCAAAGCGGTATTAAGCCGAGCTTATGAGCTTAATGTTTTGGGTCGTGTTTTCTTAGTTCGTTAAAGCTAATTACACCTGGGATTGTGAGAGCTTGTTCATTGTGCCTTTTGTAGTTAAGATTTAGTTAAAGAGCTTATTTTAGCTAATGTCTAATTAAGTGAAAACATAGGTTGTTAGAGCTTATTGACAACTATAATCGGCTTAATCTTGTCCTATTCCTTTATAAATTGTGAAATCAATGATAAGTGTTCAACATCATTATCAAGAGTGGTCTAACGTTGGGTTTTTAATTTCTTGCATTTTTATAAGTTTTTAATTTTCATGCCAAGCTTAATTAATCAAATCCAACCCTCCTTTTTTTTTCTCGTATTTATTTTATTTGTTCGTTCTTGTACTTGAATTTAGTGGCTATAACAAGTTAAAACTGAGTCCCTGTGGATACGACCCGACTTACTGCTATTACAATTTTTGTTGTAATTAGCCAATAATTGGAATTTTTTTATTTGATGGACTCGGCATCCGTCAAATACAGGGAAGTTCAAATGAAACCAGCAAAAACGTTGAAAACCTGAACACAAATTTCAACCTTTAGATATATTTAATCCGACGAATGTGATCAAAAAAGTGGTTACAACACTGGAAGACTCCAATTCCTTGGAATTTCCATATTTCGTCTTTCTCTGGGTAAGATGGGTATTGAAGCTCTCCAGCTAGATCCATTCCAACTTGAATTTCCTATATAAACATAGAATCCCTACATGCCAAATTAACATATATAGCCAATAACAAATCATGTATACGCCTGTATCCGACATACAACTTAAGTGTAAAATAATTGGGTACTTGAAATCTGAATTAAAGTTTGAACCTTTAAACTATTAGCAATGTAAGTGTTAAAGACCACAAAAATACCCTACTCATTGTCAATTGATATGATATCAAGACCCCCCATTTGTAATATAAATCAAATGTTGCAAGTAAACATAATAGATAAGAGTGATGACCACAATGGTGTCACCATGACTGAATTTGTCTATGAAATAACACATGTTGTCAGAGAAGCACTAAGCACTGAATGGGCGTCTTGCCCTTGAGGCATGGGATGGTGTCACAACCAAGGGAAAAATATTCATTACTCTTCATTCTATATTGATCTGTGTATGCCAGGTCAGGGTCATCCACTACAACAAAATCAGGTTTATAAAACACTTCCAATTTTTAAGCGTCTTAATAGACCTCTTTATAAAACTTAATTTATAGGACCAAAAAAATAAAGTGTCCTACCTAAAGGCGTTGTAATAAGTTTATATGACTTTTTTGACGTCGTACTAAGTTTTTTCGGACACTTTTAATATAAAGCGTCTCACTATCAACTTTATATGACACTATTCTGAAAATTGTCCTATAAAAACAAGTGTCCTATAAAAAAATGAGTTTATAGGACACTTTATCAAAAGTGTCCTATAAAGTTGCTAATGCGACACTTTGTATTAAAAATGTTCTAAAAAACTTGTTAAGTCGTCCAAAAGCGTCATATAAACTTATTACAACACCTTTAGATAAGACGCTTTATATTTTGGTCCTATAAATTAAGTCATATAAAGCGGTCTATTGGGACGCTTAGAGATTAGGGGTGTCTTATAAGCTCAATTTTGTTATAGTGATCATTGATTTCTTCTAATACCAACTTTGGAAGGGGTATACTGCAAAGGTTTGATCAGAATGTTAGATGTTTCTAAATGTTAAAAAAGGGATATCCATATATTATGTAAATATTGATAGTGTAAGGTTGAAATTCAAAACAAACTTGTAAGGCTTTTTGGTTAGTTTAATTAAATAATAAAGCATGGGAAAGAAGAAAGTGACTGACGTGCAAGAGTCGTCAACATTTCCGCCACATTGATGGAAGGACATCAATGTCTGTATCTAGTGATGGCCAAAAACCGGTCTCGGTTCCGGTCCCAACCGGCCCCAAGATTTCTCATAACCGGTCCTGGTCGAAAAAGTTGAGTCCGGTCAAGCTTTATTGTAACCGGTTATGGGCCACGGGTCTCGGTCATTAAAAAATAATTTTTTTTATTTTTTTAATGATATATATTTTTGATACATTATAAAATTTGTAATTGGCTCACTCAAATACACTTTAAAAATACGCTTTATTATAATTAAAATTACAATGTCTTACAAAATATAGTGAGAAACCGATAATTGTGAACGTTTTTTTTTTTTGCATTCTTTGCAAATTGAGAACTTGGTATGTAAATCCCTCAACCAAGACACTTATATATAGTGTTTAGAAAGCAAAAAAAATACAAAAAAGGGCTTGTTTTTTGAAAAATAACAGCTACATTTAAAAAAAATAGCTACATTTTTTTAGAAATCGGGCTGGGCCGGGCCGGTCCCAGAACCGGTCCCGGTCCGGCGAAAGACCACAAATCCATAACCGGTCACAGATTTCGGTCCTATAACCGGTCTTTACCGGTCCTGGTCCTCCGGCAGTCCTCGGCCGGACCGGTTTGGCCATCACTACCTGTACCTTTAGCCCATGCTTCTTGGCCATCTCCAACAACTTTAGTATCTAAGAATCAGAGGAAGGGGATAGGTATCTTACATTCGAGTTCGTTTGAAGGAGAAAGAGGTGGTTACCGGTGTAATCATCTCAAGGAAAGAGAAGAAGATCAATTTAGTGATTCCCGGTCGGAGCTTTCTCTCTCTCTCTCTCTCTCTCTCTATATATATATATATATATATGTGTGTGTGTGTGTGTGTGTGTGTGTGGGGAAAGAGAGAGAGAGAGAAGGGTTCATGTAAGACCAACATTGCATTTGCATTATTGTGTAACACAACAAACAATGCTACAAAAAACAAAACAAATAGCTCCTCTACTTCCAAACTAGAGAATTTTTTTTTATAAACTATACATGAAGAAAAATAAACATAATTATTTGAAAAACTCAAACGGAATTCTAGAATACTAAGTACTTGATGCTGCCCAAAAACAAACCAAAGAACTCTACTCCCAATTCCTCTCTCGATTACGTGTAAAAAAGTTCATAACTTATCAACCTCATCACTACAATGTGCTATATATCCCTGTTTACCAGCCAATTCAACATATGATATGAAATATCAACATAAGTACTTGGCCTTAATATGCCTTCCAAATTTTACTTCAAGGTTAATGATGACATCAAAATGTTGTAATGATGTGAAGAACCGGAATAAAGGACTTAAATTTTTTAAATATGTAGTATAATGTGCTAATTTTCAGAAGACACCAGATAACTACAATGATTCGAGCCTTGCTTTTGCTAACTATTGTTGCATTCTCATTTCCTAATCAACTGGGGCTATGTCTGTTTCTCAGTTATTGGAGATTTTAGAAGTTGCAACCAATTAATGAAATAACGAAATTGTATTAATATTTCAGGGGATCAGGGTTTCAAGTTAGGAGTGTGTACATTCAAAGGGCGCAACCAATCTTTAAGAGGCCAATACTTCATTGCCTACCGAATAAGAATACTAATAACTCAAACCGCGCTGTTCAGCTTCTTATCACTTCAAAACCGAATTCAAGAACAAAAGGTGACATTCTCATCACTTCAAACCGAATTCACCCAAAACCATAAATCAAACCAAAGCTAGCTAAGTGTCCAGTCCTAAAGCCCAAAGCAAAATGTCTAAGTCTAAAGTGTATAACCAAAGCCCAATTGCAGTCATTTATCAATATACCGGGTACGGGGTGAGTCGAGGGATACAATACCCGACCCCAACCTCGATTTGCCTCTACCGGGGATCCCGTTTTAGCAGGGAATCTTCATTCCCGTTCGGGTTGGGTGAACCGGGTTCCCCACAAGGTCGGGGCAAATCACCATCCCTACACACACATATTTGTATATATAATTATATAATATAACTTAATTAATATATGTTAATAAAATAATAATAATAATAATAATGAAATATAATATATTATTTAATCGATTTAATATTTTATGAATTTTAACAATTACACAAAGTTTAGGGGTGCTAAATTAAATTAACTTTTGGATTTAATAAGATGGTAAAATAATAACATGAAAATTGAGATGGAATTAGAAAGCATGCCAGCGCATCTCAAACACTATATATAGATATATATATATATATATATATATATATATATATTATATATATATTATCTTTGACCACGAAGTTAGAGGCGCAATGAAGGCTAGAGGTGGTTTTATAGATCAAGAAAGAAGCTTTTCAAGCCACAAACAACCACAACCACAAACCAGAAATGGCTGCCACCGATGGGTTTTTGACTGTTCTTGAGATATGCCGAATCTCACCACCGCCAAACACCGTCGGCGAAAGGTCACTGCCACTTACTTTCTTTGATTTGGGATGGCTCCTCTTCCATCCAATTCACCAGATTTTCTTTTATGAATTCCCTCATTCAAAATCCCATTTTATCCAAACAGTTATTCCCAACCTCAAACACTCGTTGTCCATAACTCTACAACACTTCTTCCCATTTGCAGGTAACCTGATCGTGTTTCCTCCTCCAAATGCTTCAGGTATTGCTAGAAAACCTGAAATCCGTCATGTGGAGGGTGATTCCATCGCACTTACTTTTGCTGAGTCTACTCTTGATTTCAACGATCTCATAGGAAACCATCCTCGAGACTGTAACAAGTTTTATCCTCTGGTACCTCAACTAGAAGGTGCCTCTAAAGGATCTGACTTTGTGAAATTTCCTATATTTTCTGTGCAAGTCACGATCTTCCCAAACTCCGGCTTCGCTATTGGGCTCACCAATCACCACACCCTTTCTGATGCACGCACGAGGTATGATTTGTTGAGGGCCTGGACTTCCATTGCAAAATATGGTACGGATGAGTTATTCTTAGCTAGTGGATCGTTGCCCTTCTATGATAGAGTGATCGAATACCCTCAACTTTTAGATGAAATCTATTTTAATCAACATGTGATTCAGACTCTAGACGAAAACTACCGCCCTCCTCAGCTTGTAAGCACGACCGATAAAGTTCGGGCCACGTTTGTCTTGACACGGGCACACATCAATCTGCTAAAGAAATGGCTGTTAGTCCAACTTCCAAGACTAGAATATGTATCGTCATTCACATTAGGCTGTGCTTATATATGGAGTTGCATAATCAAATCACGTTTGCATCTTGAAGGAAAGAAAAGTGAAGATGAACTAGAAAGGTTTTCTTGTGTCATAGATTGGAGGTCTCGTTTAGATCCACCTGTTCCACAAAACTATTTTGGCAATTGTGTCGGGCCGTGTTTCGCCACAACCAAGAGCACCATACTAACCGGAAACAAAGGGTTTGTTACTGCTGTTGAATTAGTAGGAAAGACTATAAGGGAAACGGTAAAGAACAAGCAAGGAATGCTCAAAGATGCAGAGACTTGGCTCGATAGATTCGTCATACAGGTTCCAACAGTCGGTGTGGCAGGAACTCCGAAGGACGACGTTTATGATTTGGATTTTGGGTGGGGGAAGCCGAAAAAGTATGAGTCTATATCGATAGATTTCGGTCAGACAATGTCTGTTAATGTGAGCAGCAAATCACCAGAAGATCTTGAATTCGGTTTGTCCTTACCAGCTAAACAAATGGATGCTTTCATTACTATATACGGGGACGAATTAGAGAGCATAATTTCTGAGGAAAACTCTTGATGCATCAATCTATAACGATGGTCTTCTTTTATTACTAGTTAAATCGTTTGTGCTCATTTTGAAATGTTATCTTGGAAGTTATTCAATTTCTTATAAAGGCATTGTTATCAATGCTATGCGCGAGGCAACTGAATGAATACCAACGGAGGCTTGTTCGCGTTTGTTCGTTACCATACAAACAAATGAACATGATCACGTAAACGAGCGAATTTCTTTTGTTTGTGTTCGTTCATCAAGAAAATAAACTTGTCCCTGTTGGTTCATGCTCGTTAAGTTACACAATGAAGTATTAACAATCTTTACTTCAAACACGTGTTAAGTCATGTAACTCGTCCCAATTTAGAGGTTGTTTGTTTACTTCTTAATAGTTTCACTAAGAAACAGTCTTTGAATCGTTAAAAAGCGAATCTTGTTTGGGGAAAAAAGTCTGTCTCTTAATAATTCTAAAACCCTCTGAATGATTTTGTATCTTGTGTCTCCCTATAACCATTCAACATCCTAATTTCGTTGTAAATAATTACCAAACAAATATATTTTATTTTGCACCATATCATGAGAGCCTATTAATCATTTTGCACCAAACTATTTATCAACCGTAAAAACAGCCCTTACCCTTTCTGACTTATGTATTACTACTTTGCTTTCTGTCACAAATATTTCCATCCTAAAAACTTTATTTCACCTTCAAAGTTTTTCTCATTTCTTTAGTTGCAAGAAATATGTTGTTTATCTTCAGTGGAGCACCTTGTACAACATCTAGATTATTTTTATCTGTATTTGTTATCGGATCTGTTGTGATCATTGATTTCTACTTTAGGACCATAGAAATCACGTGATGGTTTTGTATTTGTGGCATAACCAACCTAAGACTTAGCCCGAAAGTGGATCGAACGACTTAGATTATTAGCGGGTATCAATTATCGCAATCACGAAAGTGCTTTTGGACATACATTGTATCGGTACAAGTCAATTTCTCGTACGTCTCTTTCAATTCAATTATAGAAATTTGTTAATAATAAAATACTTTAACTAAATTATATACTTTGTAGTTATTTTAATAGACGATAGACAAATAGCATTTGGTTTTCTAAAGAATAATGCAAATGACGCCATCCACCATCGATATGTTGACTGTTTTTGAAGATTGCCGAATCTCTCCGCTGCCGGCCACCGTCTGCGAGAGGACGCTGCCGCTTACTTTCTTCAACATTATGTGCACTACTAAAAAACCATGTATCAACGAAATCAGCGAGTGAAAAAAATCCCTCGCAGATCAGCGAGGGAATTGGCAAAAAACAGATTAATCTGATTTTCGCCATTTTTTTATTTTATAATTACAAATTTAATTACTTATTAACTTTTAATTATTGTTTATTAAATTTCCAATTATTGATTATTTATTAGAATATTAAAATAATTAATTAATAAAATCGAATAGAGCCCATTAGGCCCAATAAAACCGAATAAAGCCCATTAAGGCCCATTAAACCGAATAAAGTCAAATAAAACTGAATAAAGTTCATTAAGGCCCGATAAAATCAATAAAGCCTGGTAAATGGATTAAGGCCCAATAAAACCAAATTAAATGGGTTAAGGGCCAATAAAACCGAATAAAACCATTAGGCCCAATAAAACCGAATAAAACCATTAGGCCTAATGAAAACCGAATAAAGTCCAATAAAATGGATTAAGACCCAATAAAACCGAATAAAGTCCAATAAAATGGATTAAGACTCAATAAAACCGAACATGTATACATACAATACCTACATATAAAAATGTGTATGTATAACACATTAAAAAACAAAAAAAATAAGAAAATAAGAAAATAGGACAATTATCTCTCTGATCCCTCGCTGATCTGCGGGGGATCAGCGAGGGAATCTGTTTTTCGTCAATTTTTTATTTAATAACTACAAATTTAATTACTTATTAATTTTTAATTATTAATTTTTAATTATTGATTATTAAATTTCCAATTATTTATTATTATTAGAATATTACAAAAATTAATTAATAAAACCGAATAAAGCCGATTAGACCCAATAAAACCGAATAAAGCCCATTAAGGCCCATTAAATCGAATAAAGTCAAATAAAACTGAATAAAATTCATTAAGGCCCGATAAACTCAATAAAGTCCGGTAAATATATTAAGGCCCAATAAAACCGAACAAAGCCTAGTTAAATGGGTTAAGACCCAATAAAACCGAATAAATCCTCATATAACACACACACTATTTATACATTCACATATACACATATGTTTAAACATGTATACATCGATCCAATCGTGGTTAGCAACCAGTACACATCATGTATACATATGTATATAACATTGACCGACGGGTATATATATGTAACACATACAACGTCGTGTAAACATATGTATATAACACGGGCTGACGGATATATATACTTATAACACATGCACATGTATACACACGATACCTAAATATAAAAAATGTGTACATATAACACATAAAAAAACAAGAAAAATAAGAAAATAGGGCCATTCCCTCGCTGATTGACGAGGGATCAGCGAGAGAATTGTCAAAAATTAAGTTCCCCAGGAAACAATTTTTGGCCATTACCCTCTCTGATCAGCGAGGGATTTTTCCTACTTTTCCTATTTTCTCATTTTTACATGTTATATATACATATTTTTATGTGTTGGTGTCATATGCATACATGTATATGTGTTATTTGTATGTATATATATATATATATATATATATATGTTGTGGTTGCTAACCGCGATGTGTATTATATGTACAGATGTGCATGTGTTATAAGTATATATATATATATATATATACCTGTCGTCCCGTGTTGTATATATATGTTTACACGATGTTGTAATTGTTATATGTATATATACCCGTCAGTCCGTGTTATATACATCTGTGTACACGATGTGTATAGATGTGTGGTGGTTGCTAACCACGATTGGATCGATGTATATATACCCGTCGATTTGGTTTCATTGGGCTTTATTCGGTTTTACGAGGCCTTAAGGGACTTTATTCGGTTTTATAGAGCCGTAATCCAATTTTCTTGGACTTTATTTGGTTTTATTGGGGATTCATCCAATTTCTTTGACTTTATTCAGTTTTATTGGGCCTAATGGGTTTTATTCGGTTTTATTGGGTTTTAACCTATTTTATTAGGTTTTGATCGGTTTTATTGGGTCTTAATCCATTTACCGGGCTTTATTGAGTTTATCGGGCCTTAATGGGCTTTATTCGGTTTACTTGGGCCTTAATGGGCTTTATTCGATTTTATTGGGCCGGGACTTTATTCGGTTTTATTGGGCCTTAATGGGCTTTATTCGGTTTTATTGGGGCTTAACCCATTTTATTAGGTTTTGATCGGTTTTATTGGGCCTTAATCCATTTACCGGGATTTATTGAATTTATCAAGCCTTAATGGGCTTTATTCGGTTTACTTGGGCCTTAATAGGCTTTATTCGGTTTTATTGGGCTTGAATGGGCTTGATTTGGTGATGACGACTATATTCAGGTCTTCCTTTGCTGGTTCGTGGCATAGATGGAAGGAAGTACCTCAGGAAGCACGTGACTTGATGTTCCAGCGCTTTAGGGTTGGTGTACCATTTTAATGTAACTAGAAGCGTACCCGCGCAATGCAGCGAGATACATCGTGATTTTAATATTTCATTTTATTTTTTATCTCAGTCGATGTTATAATATGGCTTTATGTGATTTTGAGAAAACAATTATGTTTTTATGTTTGAATAAAATATATGTTTGAAGATATCATAAAAATTTGACAAAAATATATCGATATTAGTATCAAATTAACTATTTGAAATTCCT